CCTGTTTCTATTTTTCTATTCCATGCATTTTTAATATGTAAAACTGGTATAATAAAGCATTTATTCTTTTTTTTCCACTTTAATGTTACACCATAGTTTTTCATTTTATTAGTGATTATTCAAAAACTTTTTTAAAAAGATTTTTATTTATTTGTCAGAGCACAAAAGCAGGGGAAGCAGCAGGCAGAGGGAGAAGCAGTCTCCCCACTGAGCTGGGAGCCTGACAGGGGCCTTGATCCCAGGATCCCAGGATCATGACCTGAGCTGAAGGCAGATGCACAACACACTGAGCCACACAGACATTCCCCATTCAAAAATATTTTTAATGACTAGGCCTATTTCAGCCTATGAAGGTCCTAGAATTTATTCAATCATTCCATAGTTTTGGACTTTCGGAATGCTTCAAAAATGTACCTGATTATATAGTGATAGAGTACATTAGTAGACAGAAGTGAATTCACTTATCTGATTTCTTCCTAACAACAGATTCTTAGAAAAGTTAGTGGATCAAAAGCCATGAACATTGTATTTCCTAGTTTCCTGTTGCTACAACAAATTGTTACCAATTTAGCAGCTTAAAACAGCACTCCCTTATGACTCCACAGATCTGGAGGTCAGAAGTCTGGAGTCGGAAGTCTAAGTACTCTCCTTAAGGTGTCCCAAGCTTTAGATCGAAGTGTTGGTGCCCTGGGCTCCTAGCTGGAGGCCCAGGAGGAGAACCATTTTCTTGGCTCATTAAAGTTGTTGGCAGAACTTTCCGTTTCCACATGGTCTCTTCTGTCTTTAAGCCAGCATTGGCAGTTTGAGTCCCTCTCATGCTTTGACTCCTTCTGACTTCAGGTAAAGAAAGTTCTCTGATTTTAAGGGCTCATGTGATTAGATCTCTGGGGGGCAATTCCACCTAATACATCTTTCGGGATCTTTAAGTGTTGCCAGCATGCTTTCCGGGGAAGCTGAGCCAAGATTTCTGCCACCAGCGCTGAATAAGTGTTCTGCTCCACACACTCACCAGCACAACGGATTAACTTTTCTTCTTTTAGTAATACATCAGACAAAACAATTGTACTTGTGTTTCTACTTGCATGTCTTTGACACCTAGAGAGATCAAATAATTTATTTATTTTTCTTCAGTGATTTCCTATCCATTGACCATCTTCTATTAGATTCTTAGTAGTTCCCTTATTGGTTTTTACCTCTTCATACATTAAGGATCTCTTGGTCTGTATTTTATAGGAGGCGGTGTTTTGTTAATTGCTCTTTAATGCACTGCTATATAATCCCATCATTGCCCTTCTAATTTCCTTTACTGTGTCTTACTTCCTCAGGCAGCTGTCCTGTCATTCTTCCTAAAATGCTATATGCTTATGTACATATGCTTATGTATTGTCTTTCTTATTGCATTTCTCCACTTTGTTGTGTGGTATGAAGAAAGGCTCTAAACTGACTTTTTTTTTTTTTTCAATCAGTTTCTTCAATATGGTCTATTGAGTAATTAGTACCCAATATTTTCTTGGGAAAAGATGGTCACAAGAATACATGCAAATCTGCTTCACACATGGATGAAAACAGAGTCAAAAGCAAATGATACAACTTCCGAGCTGGTGAATAAGAGCCACATGAAGAGATTTCTTCTGTTTCATCTGTGTGTGCCTGTAACAAGAGCTGAAGAAACTAATGATGTTGATTACAAGTGGCCACAAAGGATTTTTGAGGTCCTGGGCCTATCTAAGTGGTAGTGGGTCTCCTAACCAAGAGAAAAAGTGACTTAGCAAAAGTTATTTTTAGACAATTACCTGTAACATATAAAACAAGAACTCTATTTGCATGTATTCAATAAAGCTCACTACCAGGCAAGGAAACCTACTACCTACCCCCACCCCAAAAAAGAGAAAAAGAAGACTTATTCTCTGCATTTGAAAATCTAAACATTAATAATAATACGATCCTAATTAATTTTATCTCAGTAAGACAGAAATTGCAGAGCTGCAGGCTACAAAGACACAGCCCCAGAAAGAATTAAGATACCTTTTGGCAAATGAATAGGCATGTCATAGACTGAGAAAATATATTTGCCATCTCACAAAGGATGTGTGTCCAGAATATATAAAGAACTGACACATCCACAATAAGAAGACAAACAACCTCATTCTTAAAATGGGTGAAAGATTGGGACAGACTCTTCACAAAAGGAAACCTGAATGGCCATGAAACACATGGAAAATTTCCAACACTAGTCACCAGGGAAATGGAAATGAAAATCACAAATAAGGAACCATTTCCCACCCACTGTAAAGGCTATGAAGTACAATGCCCAGTGTTGGCAAAGCTATGAAACACCTGGAGCCCATATATATTCTTGGTGAAAATGAAAACGGTAGAAAGGCTTTGGAGAACTACTTGGAACTTTCTTAGAAAGTCAAGCACACAACTTAGCACACAGGTCCTTTGAGTCCCACCACCTGTTGGTTTTGACCCAATCCTCTCATGTTGCTTTCTTTCTTCCATGTCTTGCATGTCCTTATTTGACTACTTTCATATTTCTTTTCTTTTTCCATCCCAAATGAATTCTCTCTTTTTAACCATAAAGAGCCACATTTTCCCATATCCATGCTATAGGTACATATGTGATGACCTAAATGAAAGTGATTGAGGATTAGCTGTGTATTTTGCCAAAAGAAGATGGTGACTATTTTTCTTCGACAGCTATAAAGGTTAGTTACATGTCAAGAGTACAATGAAAATGGAACATATGCCAGTAAACAAAAGACCATATGTCTTAAGTCTTTTTAAAGACTTAAAATGTTTTTCATATACAAATATTTAAAGCCTTCAACAACAGAAAATCAAATCATGGTCATTTGAAAAGTTCATTTATTATACCAATATACACTTTCTGTAATAAAAAAAAAAAAAGCCTCCCAGTACATTGAACCATCTTATAAATGAAATAAGAAAATAAAATTTTCATCTGTTCATAAATGGGGTTAAATTATCCAGTACAATATAGCATATGTAAGTCTGCCCTGCAGTCTGTGTAAGTTCTAATCCTGAATATGGCCATGAGAAGAAAAATGGTGCTTCATTATTTGGCACTGTAGTATTGCTCTTGAATATCTGTGTAATTGCAGAGGTTGATATTTTCAAGTTAGTCATATAAAAGGTGTAAAGCATTCAAAATATATATAGATTTTATACTTTCCCAATTTTTTGAATTAATCTTTGATATTTACATTTAAATACAATCAGATTAAAACTTCTTTTAACACTCAGAAGGTACCTTTTCCACTTTCTATTTTGAAACAGTCTTTAGGTGAACATAATTGGAAACCAATCTTAAAGATTATATTTGGCAAGTATTCTCCAATAATAATGACATAAAAATTATGATAGTTTTTAGTAATGTTCAATTTCCATGACGAAGTGCACCATTTGACAGTATTATGCCTCTAGAAAATGATACATAAAACAAATGTGTATTTTCTTAAGGCACATTCCAAAGCAACTATTGAAATATGATTTAATATTATACTGCTATGATACTTGTATTTCATACTTGGCTTTACTAAAATACAAAAATATACAATAAGTGTTCTTGCTACTGACTTGGGGGGAGAAAAGGGTGGCAAACTCCAGAAATTCTAGGCAGTGAGTGCTAGTTCTTAAATCCATTTCATGTAAGTGTGTTGCAGAAGTGAGCAAGAATAATAGTTTGTATTTCTCTGTAGTGTCAGCACTCCTATTTTTTATGGAGAGCCATTTAACATTGTGTTAAATGACAAATGAATGTCAGCAGACTCCTGTGCAAGCCAAAAGGAACTAAATCCTATTTTAGACATGCTCAGTTAAAAGAACAATCTTAGCACTGATAATTACTTGCAAACAAGGAACTTATTTTCTTGTGAATGATTGTATTATTATTGTAAACATTGGCGAGCATTCCTGAACTATGTATAACTTAGGTTTCAAATTTAAAATCCCCAATAGACAGATACGTACAAATGGATTTTTGAGCCCATCAACTTAATTCCCTGCCCTCACCCTCAATAGTATAAACAGTTTGACTGTGAAGAGAGAAAACTACACATGTAAAAAATAAAAATCAAATGTACCATACATTAAAATTCTGATGACTACAGAATAAGATTATATACATAAACATATAGCAATCACAGTTTCCTGCACTGAATGTTTACCAAATAAAAATGTATCAAACAATACTGGGTAATGTAGGTCCACATGAATCGTGGTCTATCTAAAACTTCTGGATGACAATGGAAGACGAGAGGGAGAGCATTGTTCAATGACAAGCATGACAAGAGGACTAGGAATAGTATTGAAAAGCAAATGCTTCCAGATCAGGCAGTTTAGCAATAAGAATTATTTTTGTTGTTGCTCTATCATTTAAATAAAGCTCCTCTCTCTGTTTAATAAGATGTTTTAATGTTTATAAAAAAAATATCAAACGAAGAAGGCACTCATTCAATTTCACAAACAGAATGGGCAAAACATTCCTTTACTGTTGACAATAAGGTGTTCTAGCCTGGTGTCTCATCATTCATGTATGTACCTTACAGGGACAGGTCCTAAGACATGCAGGCATATCTCGGACATTGCAGGTTTGGTTCCAGACCACCGCAAATATTACAAAAAAGCAAGTCAAATGGATTTTTTTTTTTTTTTTTTTGGTTTCCCAGTACCTACAAAAGTTATGTTTACACTATAGTCTATGAAGTGTGCAAACCTATTCTGTCTAAAAAAAAGCACATACCTTAATTAAAATATTTTATTGCTAAAAAATGCTAACCATATCTGAGCTTTCAGCAAGTCTTAATCACTGACCACAGATCACCATCACAAACATAATAATGAAAAAGTTTGAAATACTGTGAGAATTACCAAAATGTGACACAGAGACACACAGGGAACAGATGCCTTTGGGAAAATGATGCTCCATGCAAGGTTGCTGCAAACCAATTTGTAAAAAAAAAAAAAAACCCAAAAAACAAACAATCCCCCCAAAAACCTCAGTATCTGAACACAATAAAGTCAAGCAGAATAAAACAAGGTATGCCTGTGTTTAGTAAGATATTTCAACATTTACCAAAAATCTACTGGATGAAGAAGTTACTAATTCAATGTCACGAACAAAATGGGCAAGATAGTCCTTACTGTGGAGAGTAACGCATTGTAGCCTGCTGTCTGATCATTCATGTACCTTACAGGGACAGTTATAAGACCTGCCTTCTGCCTCTGTTATTCAGTAAACCCAGAGTATTGGGTGTTGGACTGCGGAAAGGCATTAAACAGTTAGATAGCTTTGCCTCCTGGGCATTTCTGTTTGATGTTCCAAGAATACAAGTATTTGGTAATTTGGGGGGGGGGAGGGTATTATCTGAGGACCATTACCTGCAGCTACCCTTACTCTGCTTGCATAACAGCAAAAATACATCCTCTCACACTGCTCTAGGAGAACATGGGTAGCAACATGCACCACAGGTTTTAAACACATAAACAGCCATTCTTGACAAAAATGTTGCTTTTTCTCTTCCTCAGGTGCCTGGTGATGTTACTCTAGACATCTTTGGAATCTTCCTGTTATTTCCTGTGAATAACATTCCAATCAACAGAACTCAATGTCTTTTGCAGCATAATTTTCAGCCATTTCCAATAGAAAAAGTATTTTTTTCCTTGGGTTAGTGATGCTTGGAATTTGGGGGATTGTAAATCCAGTCAATTATAATGAGTGCCATGCTTCCAATCATGAAGATGATTCCAACCACAAGGAAAATTAAAGCCTGTCAATCAGAGAGAACTGGTTAGGACACACAGAAACCATCTTTAGCACAGCTTGCTCTTCGTATGTTGTTTATAACTGAGGCAGCAATCTGATTGCATATTGAATTGTCTCATCCTTATAGCCCAGTTGGCTGTGCCTAGCGGCTCAGTGAGTTTAGAACCTGAGTTGGGGAAAGAGGGTGAGCTTTAACCCAAATCCTCAAAACAGAGAAATGGTTGACTTGGTACATTGAAATGATAGAATAGCCTGTAATCATTAAAAATCAAGTGACAGAAAAAGATTTAATGACATTGGGGGTGCTCACAATACTTTAGGTGAAAAAGGGCAGGTCCTAGATGGGTGTATCATAGTATATAGGATAGGATTAAATTTTATAAAACAAACAAATAAGAACAAAACCCTAATCTATATTTCATATTCCTTTTTAAAAAAAAAGGCGAAGTGTGTGTGTACACACACACACACACACACACACACTTGAAGAGGTCGTCTATATTACCACTCAGATCAATGTCTTCATTTTATATATAAGGAAGCAACAGTTAAAAAATTTTTATTCACTAGAAAGGATGTAGGAGACACTTTGGTTCTTACACCTGGTCAAACTCAGAATGGGTCACAAACAGGACAAGTAATCTGCCAAGTTCACACTGCCCTAAAAGTCCAAGGAAGATGGACTAAAGAGGGTAGGAATTCAGGGGTGAGCTGATGAGAGGAGCTTTTGATGCCAAACTGTTGTGAAGTCCCTGAACAGTCCTGAGGGGTGAATGACTCTCAGGCAAAATTCAGCGTAACTCACTAAGGGGCATTGTTTTTAAGCCTTAAATGGAAGACTTCATTAAATAGTCATTGATAATATTTAATTACTGGAAAAACAATTCTTTCTGGCATATGTTTCTATACCATCATTTTAGGAAAGAAATATGTTCTAGTTTAAAAAATTTATATCTTCTATCTTAAAAGGTTAACTGGAAAAGGAATGATTCTGTTCTGGATCTCTGTCCACACCAAGGTACTATGGAGGGGGAAACAAAGCAACATTTTTTCTTTTGGCCTCACAAACCTAACAGATATGACTGAAATGTTTAAATTATTTCCTAACACCGCCAGGGAACCCATTTTCTTCCCACATAATTTCCCGTAGATAGTGCTGCAGTCTTGGGTGGAAATTGGTATACATGTATGTCTGTGGGAAAACCCCATGAGTGTTCGACAGGTAGGAAGGACTCAACACAAGATACTTAATATGAAGGGAAAAGATCTGGAAGCATCTCAGTACCAGAAATCCACCCCCTGTTCTCTCCACTAGAGTTCCAGCCCATCTGATTTTTGGTTCTCCTTCATCAGCTTTTTGGAATTGTGTATTTTCTGCTTTAAGTAGTGGAAGAGCAACTTAAAAATGGGGGAAATTGAAAGCCTTACTTACCCCAACCTTTTGCGGTGACCTAAGGGGTTCTTTCTTGACAAGTTTAAGATAAAACACTGCTGGAAGGATGAAGATCAGCATAGTGGCAGAAGAAGCCCCTGAGGACAGAGGCACAGGACAGGTCAATGTCTTACTCACCAAAGCAGAGACCCAAGGTCATGAACTTCAAAGAAACCAGATCTAACCCCACCCTAATCTTAGCATTAAAGGTACCATCAACTTGTCTTGGTTGCTTATTCAAAGATCTGTTTATCAAGAAAATTTTAAATATACCTCACATCACAGTTGCATCCTAAGTGCACATAATATACAATTAACAATAAAAGGCTGCCTGTTAAAAATTCAAAGGAAATTGATAATGCAAACACATACTAAGAAAGCTGAGCTCATCACATACTCCTCCTATCCACTTCTAACTCTTCAAGTTGTTTACACCTAATTTTTAAAAAATCTTATATTGTCTTTATGAGTCATCCCTCAAATCGGGAGATGAAAACTAAGTTAATAGGCTACCCAGTTAAGAGAATATGCTTTGTAAGGCCAGCTTCCTCTACCTCCAGAGACAGCTGGCAATGCTCAGCTGATGCTCCCAGAGCTGAGAAAGCATCCTGTAGGTAAAATCAATCTTCCTTACTGTCTGATGCAGCTTTAAGACCTAAATCCAAAGCCTAGATCTACTGCAAGTCACAGGTATTCCCCAATTTTGAAAGTTCACATTACGCCCCTTTGGTTTTAGGGAAGACCTACATTAGTACCCATTTTTGCTAACGGAAAGAAACCTGAAGAGGATTTTTGGCTTTCTGAAAAAAAGGCAAAAAATGAAAATAGCATTCAGACTTTGTTGTGCAGCGAGCATGAAGAGAGGCAGTGTATCCTGAGCAGCGAGAGTGGCGTCGCCAGGTTCCTTCCCTGGGAGCTACCCTACATCTCGACATTAAGCTGCCTTAGCTTTTGAACTATGTCTGAATATCTGTGTTTTCTCTCAATTTGTTTTCTGCATTTGTTACCAATATGTCTCCTAAGGTATCAGAAAAGCCCAAGAAGTTGATTTTTTTTGGGGGGGGGGTCTGGGATGCTCAAAAATTTTCCATATAAACGAATGGTAATTGCTTCTTTGCTTTATGCCTTTTAGGCTTACAAAAGTTTTCCTAGGAACACTCAACTTTTGGATGGCGGGGGGAGGGTGGAGAAGCTTTATATGACTTGACTTTTATGGGGCTCAATTTCCTCATCTCTCAGCAAAGGCAGATGGATTAGATGGCCTCTAAGGTTTTTTTCTCATCCTATGAATAATTTTGAGTCACCTGAGAGGGAGGGAAGGTGACCAGCTGGAGCCTGGCTGGGCTAATAGGCATCCCATAAGCCTAAGATGGGACCAGGGATCCTTGACTCCCATCCACCAGCTCCCTGTCTGCCCTTTAAGGAGTTATCAACTTGAGTTGATAAAATAAAAGCTTTTCTCAAACTTACCTATGAATCCAAAGATGTATTTTATTGTTGGTACAAGGATGACCAAAACATTATTCAGTGCAAGAAGTATAGCTGCAATCAAGAAATGTCTTATCCAACTGAAGGGTCTTTTGGGAAATAAGAGCGTGGTCACTGATGTACGAATCTGCAAAAAGAAAGTCCCAAGTTGATTTTCATCTACAATTTCAAATATGTTTGTCCCTCTAAAGCATCTTCTGTGTTTTTTCTTTTTCTCCCTAAAATGATCTCAATGCTGATTTATCTTTCAAAATTTCATTATTGTGGTAAAGTATACATATTTACCATCTTACCCATTTTTAAGTGTACAGGTCAGTTATTAAGTACAGTGATACTATTGTGCAACTTTGATGCGGACATTTGTTTGAGAGAGTGTTTTCCTTGTGCTCACTTCCTCAGCTTTCAGACTTTAAAAATCTCAGAAAGATGAGGTACCTGGGTGGCTCAGTTGTTTAAGCAGCTGCTTTCGTCTCAGGTCATGATCTTGGAGTCCTGGGATCAAGTCCTACATCAGATGCCCTGCTCAACAGGGAGTCTGCTTCTCCCTCTGACCTCTCCCCTCTCATGCTCTCTCTCTCTCAAATAAATAAATAAAATCTTAAAAAAAAAAAAAACTCAGAAAGAGATAAAATAACAGGTAAGGCATAGAATTTAGGGACACGGTAAAACCTTTTCGATTTCTAAACACGTCTGTTAGACTGGATTAAGTTTTAAGGACAGGCACTGAATTGATTTATATACTGCTCATGAATAGAATTTTTACAAATCTTTTTAATTTGGCATTGTATTTAGCATTTTTGCCACACAATGTTTTTAAAAATATGATACTCTTTGTGTTTGCTCCTCTCTCATTTTTCCCTTCTGCCTCCCTCCTTCCCAATTCTAGATTATAAATGCAAGGCAAAGAATAGGGCCTAATAATTTTAACATTCTTCAAAGTTTGTAGTTTGGTGTTTTGCACAGAGCAGGCACTTAATACACGTTGAATTAAATTGAACGGAACAAATGCCTTCCCTCTCTTCAGGAGCCTTGGACAGACCTCAGCCCTATTTCGGCGGCTACAATAAATAGGTGAAGGGTCAAGAGAGGCTCCATTTGCAGCAGCCTTTCAAGTTACTGTGCTGTAACCCTGGATAAAAAGATCCTTTTGGCTAGAGGGAATGCTCTGCATGTTTGAACAGCTTAACAAAGTAGAAAATACTCTTATCGCTGGAATCTTTTAGAGGACACTTTTTGACTTAGGGGAATTACTCTGTTGGCTTTTCAATAAGTGAGCATGTCAGTGAAGCTAAGACTTCACATTTTTAGAAATGCTGGGGTTGATTTTTCACTTAAAATGTTACTTCTGAAGTCTCTTGCTGGTGGAGAGATGGGATCTCATTTGAGAGAGAAAATGTAAAATGCATTTAGAAACACATGCATGCACGACAAAAACTACCAGCAGAATTGCTTGTAGTGTCTAATGGGACATTCCTTTCATACCACTGCACCAAAAATTAAAGCCATCTGTTTGGGTTTCAAAAGCAATTTCATTTCCAGAATGGCAGACCAGATAGTCTCTGGAAATGGTTTAAGAGTGACTTTGTAAAGGATTTTAAAAATTGGATTAGTGAAAATTATGAAACTTGCTCTGAAAAGTAGGCTGAAGAAAGCAAATGGTTTGAGAACATTTTCCCCAGCTGCCCATAAATTCTACATTATGATCCACAATTCGTGCTTATTCAGTCTTGTCCAAACTGGTCTCATTAGGCTTAAAAATGAGCTTTCTATGGTATAGCCACATGGCTTCAGGACTTATTTGTCTGAGAATGCTAAACATCCAGAATGAGCAAGTAGCATGCAGGTTATTTTCAGGCAGAGGTCATACATATGTGCTTTTTTTGTCTTTTGTTAAAATAATACTATTTACTCAAGAGGCTGAGTTAGAGGTAAACCTATAGGTACAGGGTCCCCGAATGTAAATTCGGTTTCCTACTGTCTCCTGGCCCCCGGGAAGGCGAGGGTGGGGCTTGATGATGTAAGAGTACAGAAGTTTTACAGGACTCATGGTTGGAACAAGGGTGAAAGCTGGCTTCTCACGGCAAAGACAGAAGAAAATCCCCAACAGAACTGAAGGCATTTGGAGCTGCCAGTGCATTCCTAGGAAGGATAAGAGGGCACACTGGGAGGTCGCAGGTTGCATCTGGTGGTGGGGTGGGGTGGAAAAGAATAGAAGGAAACTTGCTGGTCCTTCTATGTTAAAATGCAGCCTTGAGAGGTGAGCCTGGATCAATGTGTCCTCCACAGTCTGTTTACCTATGGTCAGGAGCCTCAGGAGCAAGGGGGCTGGCCTGTTACCCACAGTGCAATGCCTGCTGTTCCACTTATCTAAGCGCCTTTTCTCTACTGACACAAACTGATAAGAACCTGGAAATGTGGGTCAGGTGCCAGGGTGGAGGGAGGAGGGAAGGCCCTAGCAACGGCCATGGCCTCTGACCCAGAATGATTCTAGAAAGGTCCTTGGAAGCTCTAGAAAAAAAAAAAAAATCTGTTATTTCCAGAGAGCATATTTGGAATAGGGAGTCTGTGAGGGGATGCCATATTCCAATCTGGGGACCCATTGAGAGGCAGAGTAGAAAGTGGAAACATTTATTAGGTCTGAACTCTCAAAAAAAAAAAAAAATCAAGACTATTGTTTAGAAGTGAATCACAGTTTCACTTCTAAGACTGCTTGGAACGAGGGTGTTGGAAATATCTGTGGATCATGAATATATTCCAGTTCACAGCAATATTCACCATATTTCTATGCCTATATCTAACAGGGGTTCTGAAGGCAGCAACCGTGAAAAGAAAGATTTTACTATCATAAAATAGAATAGAAGTAGCTAGAGAATCTGAGATATGATCTTTTTTTTTTTTTTTTTAAGGTGTGCAAATGGAATGTGAGTCTGTGTTCCTGATAAACTCATTAGGATTATCTGGTTTTCTGTTTTTCATGGTGATATGTGAACTTGAGAACATAAAGGGAAGTATAAGCTGAAAATGATGTTCATGGTCTTTGTGAAGGAGGTACAGTCCCATAATGGACAGCCCTGCCCATACCACCACCACCCCAACATTAGAAGCAGAAAGGTTGGGACACTAGTGAAAAAGCAATTCACTTCATTTATTCATTTGATTGATAATCATTTTTCACTCAAAATGTGTCTTTGTTTAAGAAGGAAAAAACTGACCTAAGTGGAGAAAACTAAGATAATAAATGGAATAATCTAAGGAAAATCCATCCAAACACCCAAGTACAGAAACACCTCTGTTGTCTCTTCTTGGGCTCCTAAGAAAAAGAGCCCACTTGTCATTTGTTGAAAGAAGTAAAATATAAAATTGTTCTTAAAATTGAGAGATTTTAATCCTAATAGACTAGGTTTTGTTTGTTTTTATGATTTGTATGTGGGTATATCAAAGCAAAGTAAATAAATTTCTTATTGGTCAAGTGTTTCATAATTCAAAGAAACCCTCAGGAGAACACTGCCACACATGACTGCATTTGACATGTTGAAAGTCATGGCTGTAAATCATAAGGAACAAATACACCACCAACTTCTTGCACTTTAGGGGGAAAGTGTCTGAAAGTAGCCTTGTGGGTTTAACTGGGACAAGGAGGCTTGCTTTCTTTCTTTCTTTTTTTTTTTTTTTTTTTTTTTTTGCCCTCCATGTTCACTTTTATGCCCTCCATCATACCCATGGAGGCTTGGATCATTTAGCCCAGATTCTCACCCAAATGAAGTTGATGGCAAATGTCAACAAGTGGAACAGCCTCTGCTTTTGCCGGAAAAGGCAGTTTATATGAAAAGGCAAGATTCCTTTGGAGACCATTTTTCTTAGCAACCACTGCTGAGCTCCTGAGCCAATCACTGTGCACATCCCTAACCTCCAGGACTTTTAACCCAGGGGAGAAGGTGGGCACTTACACAGATGATCTCAATGTAACATTGGAAGGTCAAAGACAGAATTACGTGCAAAGCGTTTCATAAACGTTAATGTTGGGTTAAAATTCTTACTTAAGGATAACAGTTATTTTTTGGAAATTTGGTTCTCATAGTCTGTTGATCCTAAGGGCCATCTCATAGGAGATGTTTCCCACCTACTACTGTACCTGATAGTCAGACTTATACCAGTGCCTTATCTGTCATGAGAGAAAGAACTTTTATGGAGAGATCTAGATTTCAAATGTTGAGGTGAAATGACCATCAGTATATGAAAGGCTGACTTCCACTTCCCATTATCTTGACCCCAGCCATCAGTGTCCTGCTGGGAGCACTGCATTGGTCAACTGTGACTGACTAGCTTCATGACCATGGCCAAGCCCATTAATCTCCTGAGACCACAACATGAAAGTGTTATATTTAGGGCACTTACAGAAGCACATAACAGATTTCTTTTCTACGTTACTTTGATTCAATAATGATGGGAGTGCCTCCTAAGTGCCAAAACTTAGTCGGTGATATCTTTACACACAAAAAGAAGGTCTTTCAACATTCTTTCCTCAGTCACTGTTTGCTTAGAAATTTTACCCTATGGTATACTTTCTGTCTACAGCTGTCTTCTGCTTTGTTCTCCTGATAGAGCTGATTTTAGGCTAAAGCTGCATGCACGTCATTGGAAATACTTTCAGACACATGAGAGGCGAGATATTATTTAAGAGTAAAATATTAGCCCTCCTGGCAATAAGGATCCGATTTCATGCACTCATGAAAAAGGAATGTGTCAAAAAATATTTCAGCACACAGGCTGCATTTAAAGTGACCACAGTGTCATTAGAGGAGTAGTTCTCATATGCTGGGCCCTACATGGAACATTCTGTACAGGACGGCGCTGGTTACTAGGTCGCTTATTTTTCCCCCTAAAATGAATGAGTAAATTCAGTGTTTATGAAAGGAGAAGAGTTGGCAGGAGAATGCAGACCCGTGTTTATCCATAGGTGGTGATTTTAACTCATGCAGCCCAAATCTCTTCAACCAGCCCTACCCTGTGATCTCATGACAAGTGACGCCAAAGGCAAATGCCAAGAAGAGGTAATTCCAGCAGGAGTCTCGCAGAGGACGTGGATCAGTTTGGGGGGTTGTAGAAAAGATGTATGATCGGTAATATAATTATTTTTCAAGAAATTTAGTTCTAGCATGTAATTTACTTAAGAGGATTCCCCTTCTCATTGGTCTTCAAGGAATCCAATGAAGGAGACTTTTTAATGTTACTGCAGCAGAACCCACTGGGGGAGGGGGGGAATTAAATACCATCAGAACTGGTGAAAATGCAATGTATTGAAAAGTAATGTGGTTTTGGCTTTCAAGTTTCAGAAGTTCTACAAACTCCTACTCATTTCTACTAACCCATAAGATCGAAACTCAGATCTGTTTTTTGAATTTGAACCTAACAATAAATTTTGACCTCAACAAAGCTGGAAAATAAATAAAGAAATACACTTGGTGATCCCCCCCCAATATTTTATAAGTGTTTAACGTCTAAATATTTGTTGTATTTACATATTAAATTGTCCATTTTAAATGGTTCCAAAGTGCTGTATAAAAATGACTTCTTCAGGCACTGCAACTGTAAACTCAGATCATAATGAAATCCACATCAAATCAGAACATATGTACTAATCTAGGAGGTTCAGCTGGATTCTTCCACCAAAGTTTCATGTACTTACTGGGAACAGGACAATAGGCACCGTTAGTGTCACTGCCACAAGGACTGCCAGGCGTACCATGAGGAGAGGGGTGTCGAATGTGTATACTTTGCTATAAGCGTGTAGTAATTCATCTTCAACTTCTCCTACAAAGAGGAAGAAGAGAATGGGTTCGCTTGGTGCTGTCAAGTCAATACCAACAGTAACATTTTGCAAAGGGAACACAGTATAATGGGAAAACAAAAACAAAAACCAAGCCCAGGTACGGGAATCTAGACCCCTCTGTTTTAATCATATCTCTGAGCTTATTAGTTGTGTGACCTTTCTTCAATGAACAAGGGAACCCTGAAGTTTATAAAGTTGCAGAAGCTAGAATCCAATTATGAAGGTGCCTCTCTAGCTCATTCACTTCATAAAGTCTATCTCTACTGCATAGAAACCTGGCAAAAGAGGTGACAAGCTGAGGTGCTCTGTTGAAGGGGATGAAAGAGCCAAGCCCCACCAGCCTGTCCCTCACAGCCTACCACCGCCTCCACTCCCACCTGCCCATGAGCTTTGATGCAGCTTCTCTGAACCTAGTATGGAAACCTTATGACAAATGAACTCTGACTTTTTTTTCAAGTTTAACAGTTATGACTCTGTCATGACACAGATACACAGACTTCTGGGGATTTTTCAAGCTTTTGCTTGTCTTATGAAACTCATTAGAGTCAGTATAAGGAACATGCAAGGATGAATTAGCGTGATTTTTACTGGGTCTCCTAATTAATATTGATCTAAGATTAAGATGTCACCCACCGAGGAAATTTATTCTTTCAGAATTCCAGATACAAATGACATGGAGATGCTTATAGAATCAGATGTAGTTCGATTTTTTTTTTTCTCCTTACTCCCATCCAAAGCAGACAGAGGGGAATAAAAATAGATTCCTTGGTATTAATCTGATTTTTTAAATTCACAATCCAACAAAGAGCTCATGTCCAATCATGTCCAAAGAGTGCTTGGTTAATAGTGAAATATTAGTCAAATGGAATAAAAAAAAAAAAAGTAAATGGTACCCTCTCCCCAGTCTTTTCCTCCACAATTTGTCTTGCAATCAATTTGATTTATTGAATCAGAAAAAAGAAAACTAAAGTAAAAAGTTAAAGAGGTTTATGTAAAAGATAGGTTTATGTTGCTAACACTGATTCATGACAACAGGTCAATGTTAGAATCCCTGAAATATGTCTATAGGGATTTTGTGTCCATTAAGATGCCATAGAGAAATTGTTTTTAGACATAATCTAAAGTGTCCATAGTTGCTTTTCTTTGTTTTTGGTAGTACATTCCCAGATTGCAGGGAATTGTCATGTCGTCTTTTTTTGGGAAACCATTCACTATAACAGAAGAGAATGAGATGAGCCAGAAAACTTGCCAAACGCTCCAAGCCTGCAGATCCCACTTCCCTGGTAAACAAAAAGCAGATTCCAACTCCAGGACTTTGTACTTTTCCTACCACTTGTTGGGTAGTTAGTTATTCTACCAAAAGAGTTTTCCAAAATACAACTGGACTCACTGTCATTGTTTCTAGCTTGAGATGGCCTACGGAGTCAAGCCAAAGAAATACAATCTATCCCTTAGGGAAAATAACTTAAATATGAAGGCTGGTTTTCATAAAATATGCGTGAATTCACAAGTGGTTGTATCCTGTTAACCAGGCTGGTTCAGGTCCCATTTTCTTAGGTCAAATGACAAGGCTCAAATAGCCTGTTAAATGATTATGTGTACTAGAGATCATGCTGCTTAGAGAAGGCGATTAAAAGAATTATACCTACCCAGGTTAATGATCAGCCCAACTAGGATTTGCACAAAGAGAATGACTTTGACAGGGTGACCTACCATAGAAGGTTAGGTAACCAAAGAGGGCAGCAAGCAGGTACATGACAAGCATTCCCGTGATGGAAATATTTGACACTGTTTGCATCTTCCTCCGGGACCGACTGAAAAGGAAACACCAAGCTTTGTGGGTTTTGTTTTGTTTTTTAACTTGTGAAAGTATCTCTTTTCATAATTAAAACTTTTAAAAAATAGTGAAAGAATGTATGCTTGTGTTGCTTTTATAAAACCACATTTCTAGTGCAGGAAACCTAGCTTGTTTCGATTTGTCTTTGAGAGCTGAGGAAGATTTGTCTCCATTTTTCTTTTTCTTTCTTTTCTTCTCTTTCTTTCTTTCTTTCATTCTTTCAGGTATTTATTTTGGGGGGAGAGAGAGAGAGAGAGAGAGAGAGAGAGAGAGAGAAAACATGAGCAGAGGGAGGGGGAGAGAGAGAGGGAGGGAAAGAATCTCCAGCCGACTCCCCGCCGAGGGTAGAACCCGACACAGGGCTCCATCTCACGACCCTGAGATCATGACCTTGAGGACCTTATAAAACACCTTTGAACATATGAGCACATTTTCAAAACAAATTAGCATGCTAACATGAGGGCTGCCTTACTCTTTAAGTTCGCTGTAGATGGGCAGGACCTCGGGGTGGCACACAAAAGCAAATGCTAGAATAGGAATCGCGTAGGCTGTCTGAAAAATAAAGATAACAATGCTGGTGTAGCCTTCCAACACAGAGGATGATCCCAAACCATTTCCCCTCATAAAACAGAGATTCGGCTGTAATATTAGGCTCATCACTCACCCGGGAGTTGAATACAAAGTATTTGGGTTGGCACTTGTCATCACTGTGTGCTTCATACTCTACTCCACTGCCATGAAGAGAACCCTTGGCCTGGTTCTCATCTAGCCCTGCAGGATTCTGGTGGGTGTAATCCATCATGAAGTTCACCCCACTACTCTCAGAGTTGTTAGGCAGCATTACCACGTGCACTGGAAGTGTATTGTTGAATGTCAGGTTTCCAACACTGTGATCCAGAACAGGCAGAGGGCAGGGTATTTGGAATTTCTTGTAAATCACCTAGGCCCAGGCATTAAAAAAAAAAAAAAAATCAAACTTTTGAGGAAAATAATGAAACAAAAATCCATATTTGTGGCTTATGGGGTAGAGGTGAGGGGTCTCTGCTGAGGACTTCTTTTAGACTAATGGACAATGGAGACTCCCTCCAGCCTCTGCTCTAAGGAAAGAGTTGGTACAATGGTTGCTCCTGAGAGTCAACAGGACAGTATTTTGCATGAATCCATCCTAAGCATCATTGATATTCTTCTGTGAGAAAGGTGGTCATTGCTTTACTACATTTTATCTCTTTTAGTTCTTCAAACTAATATAAAAATGGGTTACCAAAAATTCTCCTCTCCTCCTTTGCCTTCTTAGGGAAATGCTCTATACAACTTGGCATCCATGATATTATAAAAAGAAAAAAAAAAGTCTCCCTTTTGGTGCAGAGTGGGGGCAATGGGGAGAAGGATTTCTTCTTTAAATCCACTGGGTTTGCCCTCTTTTCACGGGTGGAATGTGCAGCAGAAAATGGCAGGTTGATGTAGATGTGGATAATTCTATAGCCTACTCATTTCTCCTCACTTCTTCCTTCACTTCTTCCTTCACCTTTCTAAATGATCAGTTGTTGTCACATTACTGCTTGAAGGATTCCTTTTGTCCAAATATACATCCTGTGTGCTTTGAACATACTACCAGCCATGGCCTTGGCATTCTAACTAAACTATTTTTAAACTCATGACTGTCCCTTTCCTCATTCCAAATTAGGATACTAGAAAATGGCTTGTGATGCAAGAAGCATTTCATGCTAGTGAAGTGCTTGAGAAAAATGAGGACACTAATTTAGGTACTAAGTGTCTCGTGCTCACTGACCTACAGGGATCATGTCAATAAATCACTTACCACACTGACAAAAAACACCATGCAGGTAAGAGAAAATCCACTGGTATAACCAAGGTAACCTAAAAGTTAGCAGAGAAATTCTGGAAGGTGAATATGGTATCTACAATTGGCTTACCTATTAGAATATGAAATGAAAATAAAAACTGAAAATGACTTTACCTAAATTTTTAAGAAGAGAAAGTGGAAGAATGATTCCAAGAGACACAAATATGACGAGGTAGTTGCCATTGAGGTACCATTCTCTGAAAGAGAAAGAGCGGCAAGGATATTAGGATGTGCCTGGGTGGCTCAGTTTGTTAAACATGCAACACTTGACTCATGATCTCCACATTGTAAGATCGAACCCCGCTTCAGGCTCCTTGCTGACCGTGAGCCTGCTTAAGATTCTCTCTCCCTCACCTCTTCCCCTCTCTCTAAAAGAAAAAAAAGAAAAAAAAAAAGGAAGGAAGGAAGGAAGGAAGGAAGGAAGGAAGGAAGAATCAGGATCAGAATAGACCAAGTAGAATGAGTCAACAGATGTTACAGAGAGAACATAAGACATAAGACATACCCAGTATTTTCTTCAAGTCCCATGAATGCTCTGATTACTTCAGGTAGTTCATATTTAATGATAAAGAGGTAGCTTGACATCGCTAAAATGGAAAACGTGACAGCTTAGTGGTGTACATAGCACTAAAGTCACAAGCAAGTTGTGAGAAGTCCCGGCATTTGGGACATTCAGTCTTCTGGTAAGATGAGCACCTAATCCCCCAGACAGAAAGAAAAGCCGCCCAGTGTGTTTTGTACAGCTTCCAAGTTCTTTTCCAAAATAGATATTTGGCCCTCTGGCTCTTGCACACAGACCTTTGCTAACAGTATCAATGGTGATTCTCTTTTTTTAATCCAGCTCTGAGGTTTTCAGTGACATTGCTCTTTCAAAGTTTCCCCCTAATTAGCTGTAAGTCATCATGGCCTATACGGAGTGCTTGTTTTAGTGTCCTTCACTTGGGCAGGGGTCTGGCCACAAAAGGCTTGGGACAGAGGAAAGAGGGAAGTTCCTAAGGGGGTGCTAGTCTAGTCCTCTGTAACCTCCCTGAGGGGCACCCAGCTCTTCAGAGCACAGATCATCTCAACTGGAGGCTGACTGGATTGATAAAAGAATGTAAGAGATGATAGCTTCTCCCACCTTGGTCAACAGATTTGCTTTCTCTATATCCCAGTCTCCCTTTCCCTAATAAGAAATTAAAGAGTATGGCAAAAGTTCTTGAGCATCTACATAAGTGATAGGATATGTGATAAATGTGATGAATGATGTGTTATCAGGTACTCTTCTGAAAATCTGTCGGTATAATCTATAAACCCTCTCCCTGGAAAAATGCGTATGTATACATACTCATAACATATAATGTTGCCTAAAGTTGTAGGGCTTGAGGCAACATCTCTTTCCCAAGTCCATCCATGCCATGAAGTATAATGCTAATTTGACACAGGGTCCAGGAAGTTAAAAATAAAATTCATTTTATTAATTTAAATTAAAAATAAGATTGACAAGTTTTGCATTGCAATGTTTAAGTGTATCCTACATCTTTCTGGTGAATTTTTGCTCACAGACATGTGAAAGCAGATATCTAAGTTGCAAATTGTACTATTAATAGTTTCAAAGGATTTCTTTAACCTCCAACAAAAGTAATAATGGTGATATTGATTCCTTATATTGGTCAGTCCTGCAGATTACTCCATTTGAGCAGCTGAAAAGCCATGTAAGACAACAAGGTGTAGGCTATTTTCATTCCACAGGTGAGGGTATAAAGGTTTAAAAGCTTCCTTGACATGTCCAAGATCTCACAGATTGAGAACAACAGACCACAAGCAAAATATAAGATCCCTCACTTCAGGCCAGTGTTTCTTCTCTATTGTGAAATGAAATTATTTTTACAATACCTGATGTGTCTTCTGTAAATATTATTTGGTTAATCTTTACAAAGACCTTGGCTAAAGCTAAATCTTACAGAGCGCAAACAGAGGAGATATTTCTGATTAACTGGCTCAGTGAGGTACCCTTCAATTTTAGAGCTGTTAATTGCTGACTTTCAGTGATGTCACCACTGTTAATGTGTTTGGTCTTTGAAAATTTAGAATGATCCAGACCTGTCTGGGTAATGTCAACATTATTCTGCTAATGTTGAAACATCTGCGGTAAATGTTAATTTTTCAGGGGATTGAGAAAATTAAACATTCTAAATGTGGAGTTGCTAAATACAGAAATACAAGTGATTTCCCTTAGGCTAATATAACTACTAATCACATAGAATAACCAAAGTGAGAGCATTTTCAGGAATGGTAGATGAAATTTTGTTTTATTCCCTTAAAGCCACACTTCCTCCATGGGTGTGCATCTTGACTGAGAGACCATTTTATCGTTTATGCCATTATTTAGAAGCATAATGGTAGCTACACTGTGAGCAAAAGACAGTGTTGTTGCCCCTTAGCTCATTGGGTTTAGGGCTAAATATGTGTTTGCCCAGTTATTTCAGTTATCCAAACAAGTAAATTAGATCAACTATGAGGTGATCTTATGAAATGCCTTACATTTTAAGTCTTGAAAAGGCTGAAAATTTGAACCAAATGTAAAGCAATCTATTCTGTGGGGGGTGGCTTGTGGCCCCAAACCAGTAAAATGTAGGAAACAATCCAGGGAATTACTGCCAAAATAGTCTCAATATATACAGATATGAAAAGAAATAAATACAAATCATTAAGAAATGCCTGGATTTTATTTAGCTGCTTACCAACCATACATTAGTAGGAGCAGGTTTAGTTGGATAAAACTTATTAAGAGAATTGCCTTATTCCAGAAATCCTAGATAACTCCAATGATTTTATTTAAGAAGGGTCACCTCCTTGCAAGATCTCTGTGCAAATTTACTTATTGCAGCAATTATTTGTCATAGTGAAAAATTGGAAACAATCCAACATCAATAAGGGATTCAGTAAGCCCATTATGGTACATTTGCGCAATGGAAAATTCAAAAGCCATTTAAAAGAATAGTATGCAAATACATTCAAGGCATATTGTCAAGTAAAAAAAGGAAGCTTCAAATCAGTATTATAAGATGATTTAATTTTATCAGTAACAATATATTTATTAAATTTTGCATAGAGGAAAACCTTGGAGTAGTTATTTCTAAGAGTGAGTTATATAAACATTTCTTTATAATTAATATATTTATGTAATGTTTTAGTTTTTCACAATTAGCATATATTTGTCTTATAATCATAAAAATGCCCATTTAAAAAATAATCAGGAAGGCTCCAGAGACATTGAATCCAAGAATGAGGGAGGAAAGGATGTACTGAACCCTTATTATGGGCCATATGTTATCTGATTTCACCCTCACAATGACCTTGTGAGATGAAATATTACTCTCATTTTTATAGATGGAAAAATTAGACAAGTAAAGTCACAGTGACAAAAACAGACTCAAATTTATGTGTACCAGACTCCCAAAGTCTATTCTCTACTCAAGTGCTTTAAAATATTTTAAAAAATCAGTGTTGTCTGATACATACAAACAGGGCCAAGGGAACCCGGAGGGACTAATATGTACTAGTCTAGAGAAGCAATGGGTCATGGGAGCAAACAGAAAGAAGATGTGTGTGTGTGGTGGGGGGTGGATTTGGGCTGGGGGACTCCAAGAGTAGGGGAACTGAATATGTTTGTTACGGTACGACAGGACATATAGAAGATAGCTATCTAGCTAGGTAGGTATGGGGATGGTAGGAAAGATATCCAAAAGGTACGCAGAAAAAAGATGAAGACCCTTATGTGATCGGCCAAGGAGTTTAAGTTTTATCCTGAAAATAACAAGGTCATGCTGAAGAATTTTATGCATGTGAGAAGCAAGACTAGATTTGCATCTGAGATAGTGAACTTGGAAGATAAATCGGAGATAGGAGCAGGAAGAAACTCAAGGTAGGAAGCCCAGTTAGAAGGCTACTGCAAGAGTCTGAGCACAAACAGTGACCACCTGAACTGTGATGGAGAGCTGGAAGGAGAGAACATCTCAAGACAGGTAAAAAACCAGAATGGACAGGAGCTGGTATTTGATTGGATATTCAGGGTTAAGGAGGGAGGGAGAGGTTATAGGATGACACCTATGATGTTTGGCTCAAGAAACTGGATGCTGCTGGTATTGTTCATTGAGGAAAGAAAGAAGAAAAGAATAAAATGGCAGGTTTGGGGACTGGAGAGGAAGTGAGGAAGTAAGCAGCACTGTGGGATGATAGATTCCAGGTGATCTAAGAGGATGTAGGCAGTAGGACATAGGAATCAAGGGTCTGGATGCCTTCTAAGGGTCAAAGACTCCATAGGGCTGGTGAAGCTGATGGGCAAACAGATGACCTGGAACGCTATTAAAAATACATATTCCTAGGTTCTACTCTGGTATTATAAGAATTTATAGAACCAAGGGATTTGTGGTTTTAATATAATGCTCCTGATGTCTACCTAGCCAGATTTTTCCTTTTGCACAACTTCTCGGGACACACTCCAATAGGCCGGCTCTGTGCAGGCTTCCTCAAGGACCCCTCATATTTTGCTATGCCTCTCAGATACTTAATTTTCAGGTTTATGAAATAGACTCAGTCATATGTATGAAACATCAACTGTTCTGGCAATGACAGAAATAAGCACTAATGCTTTAATCTTGTAAATTTAAATGAAAGCCATAATAGCCTTTGAAATCAAGAAAGCTTTTACTTTCTATTTTACTTCTAGAATTCATTTAGTGGGATCCTATATAATATTTTCTTAGATATTATTTTTAATTAAAGAAGGACAGCAAATCTACTTAAGAATCCTTATTTTTAAAATTTCTGAATATAAAGCAGTTGTTTTTCTGTATTTAAGGTGTTTGTTCATTGCTGTAAGAGTTTTCTGGTTTATTGAGCATTCTTTAGAAAGTTAAGTAGTAGCGAACATTATATGTCCTTACCGCCAATGTTCTGCATTGTAATGGAAACAAAAGCTCCAATTTTTCCAGGCCATCCAAATGCCTTTTCCCCTAGTTTTTCATAAATTAAAGACCCTATAATAAAAAGTAAAAGAAACAAAAAACAACCTTTTGAAAGTATTGTTTTAATGACTAAACTATTTCTATAATTGTACATTAGAGTCTCAAAGGTGTACATAAACACCACATAGAAATTATAAACCCCAAAGATGCAATCTTAGAAGCCAATACAAAACGTGTTAAATGTTCCGCAGATAAGAAGCAATGGCTTCATTCATCTTAGCTCTGTGCAGCAAGTCAGAGCTGTTATTTCTGTCATCCATCAAGACTCCTTTTTCCTATTTGGCTTGAACCTGAGCCAGTTGCCTTTCACTTCTCTTAGCTGCCCCAAATTACTAAAAACATTGAGAAGCCATGTTATTGGGGTCAGAAGAAAATGAAATGTGAAATTGACTAAAATCCTCCTGTAGTTAGAGAGTAATAGACTGAATTAGCTTTCAACAAGGTTCCAAATAGAACATCTTGGACTTGAGGGATAGCATACCTCCTTCCTTGGCGGTCTTTAATAAAAGGTGAACTGAGTAGAGTGATAATATTGCTACAGCAAGCAGCATGATTCTGGGAAGGGAACAGAGAGTAGACAGTAAATTTCTATAATAAATAAGACACACTCATGTTAGATATTATCATAAATTATCACACTGGTCCTTTCAATCATTAACTTTCCAAAAGTATGTGGATTTTGGGGAAGCTGAGAAATTCTTTGGAAGTCGCTCTATTTTATGTGCTAAAACATACCACCGGAAATTCCTCACATTTCTTTTTCTTTCTTTTTTTTTTTTTTTTTTTTTTTTCCCCCTTAGTAAAATTTGTTTCTTAACTCAGATGCTAAATGTATAGCAGAATTAGCAAATATTCTATCCACTTGTTCAGTTTATGAATATATGTCCATCATATTTGTGAGCTATTCTCAGCAACATTTATAATTGAAGGGCTACTTGACAAGCTGGCTAGCCTTTAATGTAAAATCTGGAAATACAGAAGCCAGAGCACACAGAGTCTAACCTGCATCACTACGGATCCTGCACATGAGACAATAAGATACTGTGTGAGCCAGAGGGTCAGGCGGTTGCCTGTATAACAGAGCAAACAGAGAAAGGGAAGGATAGGGCTCAGAAAAATGTCTTTTTTGTGTTGTGGTCAGAAAGAATCATTTCTGGGTCAGGACCGTCTACATGTCCATAGGCATGTATGAATTCCTTATGCATACAGTGATCATTGTTTCTCCAAAAACAAGAATTGGAAAGCAAAAACAAGAGCACAGATGAAAGCATCTATATAATAAATAAAGGAATAATACTAAATTTACCTGACATCATAAAAAAAAAACAACAAACCAAAAAACCCCTTACTCTTTGTTTTACACAGCCAGAACACATTAAACATTTTCCCCACAATTGATCTAATTCTTTGGTAATTCCTGATGAAGTCAATGTTGCAAATGTACATTTGGCCACGAGTTACACATTTTTATAACTACACTAGCTATCTTGTGCTCTTGTTTTCCACAAAATACATTTATCAGAACTGTCTAATCAATGACTTACTTATGTAAGTTTCCATACACCTGTGAACTCACCTAAGATGAGATTTGGATTACAAAATTTTGTTTCCTGGAAAAATAATGAGCATTCCCTGTGTTCTAAAACCATACTTCCTTTGGCAGGGAATACTAAAAGTAAAACCAATGAAATCCTGTGTCACTTGCTGTGAATTAAGGGGTATAACCAAATTCAATCTGTGCTCCTTGGATATACACCTTCCAATATCCCACAACGTAATTGCTCTGGACAGTATAATCTGTTAAATGTTTAGGCTTGAAATGAGGGCCTCGGTTTTAAAAGTGGAATATTGTCCTCCCATGAAAATCATCTTGTGGCCCTAGGCCTAGGGTCAGGGGAAGAGTCTCTTATTTCTATTCCTCAGTCATTGATGATAACTGCCTAATTGTAACGGTACGTATAATGAATAAGGAGAAGGCAGTCTGTCTTAGAGATAGGGCCTATGACAAAAGTATACAACTGTGTGTATGAATACATCTCTAAGCCATTAAGATTCAGAGGATTAAAAAAAATGACTTTGTTTCAAACGTGACATTGATATAAAAATGCATCCAGCTAAAAAATATTATACCCAAAACAGATCAGAGCAGTAACACAATATAAATATTTATAGTTCTGCCTGATCCTTAGCCCTCAAATAGCTGTGTGATTATCTAATCCTAAGTGATGCTCAATACATAAATGGCATATATTTATAACATAAGCATTGCATTCTTAGACAGCTATTTAACGCTCTAACATTGCATTAGAGATGGTGATCTGCATTCACACAGTTGCCTAATATTAGACTGTATTCCTGTGAAGAATTCCATGGCTGCCAACTGTGTCTTAGAAAATACCAGGCTGTATGTAATACACAGGAACATCTGTGGCTATTTGTCACAGACAATGTGGTATCCATCACCCAGGTCATGATGCTGCTGCCCTTAGGCAGCATTTGACAAGTACCTAGGTTTAGGAATAAACTCGGGCCTGTCTGTAAATATTTCTGTCCCAAGCACTATACTAGGTCTCGGGGATACAGACATGTGGTGAGTGAAAACAGACAGGGACCCAATCCCCTGGAGATTATAGTCTAGCAAAGGAGAGAGATACTAACCAAATAAATCTAATAACTGCACTAAAGAATTAAAATTGTGGGGTGTGTATAATAAGTATTTGTCCCAGTCATGGAGGTCAACAATGGCATAACTTGGGTGAGGGTGAGCTGTCCTATGAGAAGTCAACTAGATGAAGAAGAAAGGAAAAAGAATTGTAGGACCATGTGCAAAGGCCCTGTGGTGAGAGGGGAATATGGAACCTTCTGGGATGGAGAGAAAGCCAGTGTGTTCATTGTATCAGGCATCTAGAGGGTGTAGGGGATGGGGCACAAGATAGGACCAGGGCATGCAGGACTTTGTAAGCCTGGTTTGGGATGGGATCTTTTCCCTCACAGTGTGATACAGTTGTATCTGCTTCTGGGAAAGGTCTTTTTACAGAGAATCACTTTGTAAAATGCTTTCTTTGAACTGGTAGGGCTGCTCCAGTACTTTGGGTGGTTGAGCACATACATTTTCTGTGAGGTGGTTAGGGGCAGCTGGTTGAACAAGCACCATGATTAGTCTGCTCTGATTAGTCCTCAGGTTGTTATTTTATCTAGAAGCCAGAGAATATGTTAATACTTTCCCAGATCATTCCTGTTCACAAAGATCAAACTTGAGATTGTTAATTAAAAAAACACAAGGCATACATGGTCTTTGAACCAGATATACTTACATAAAAAGTATGATCCCTGTGTTGGCCATGGCATAGGACAGGCCCAAGATTCCACTGCCCATGATGGCATTACTCAGGTTGAATGAAGACATTCCAAAGGAGGTGGTTCCAGGATGCTTCAAGAAAAAAGTGTGTATTTTAAGCAAATATTTGCCAAAGGATGAACCCTTTTCAAATTATCCTTATTCTCACATTATCTTTACTGGAGGAGTTTATGGTTTAAAAATGAAGAGTAAGATAAAAATCACAGTGAATAAAAGCTTTTGCTTCCATAAAAGCATATAATTTTCAAAGGAATGCTTGGTTTCAGCAGGGGTCTTGGGGAAAAAAATAGAAAATACCGGTTGGGTAACGTAAAGAAGGGAAAGTATGTCTGATTGCAGATTACATTTGGATTAGAATGATTTCTCCAAAAAACAAATGAATTTCATAAATGATTTATGTAGCCATATGGTGAACAGGAAAAACAAGTCCTTATTCCAGTAAGGGCCTGAATAAACAGAGAATGTGCTGATCAAGGCTTGGAAAATTTCAGTCACATTGTTTTCCCACAGAGACCTAGGTAGATCAGGCACCCTCGAGTCCTGTTTACTGCCCCAAAGCAGAGATTCACTTACATGTTCATCATCATAATTGGCCAGCTTCTTTTCCCCTAAAAATCCATTCGTCAGGAATTTCTGACTTTCAGCATCTTCATTAGTAAATTGACTGGATACACATAAAAAAAAGAAAATGAAGGAAAAACATCTAAGTAAATGCTCTGAATTATAGTTCTGTTTCCGGTGAGCTAAGTCACTGAATCTGGGAGGAAAAACAAAGCACTTAAAAAAAATTTTTTTTTCCTTGCAGAAAAGAGCTGGGCTCCATTCCTGAATAGACCTTGGGAAGGAGAGAAGTTATGAAGGAAGAAAATAATTTTTTAAAACACATTTTTTCTTCCCACATGAACTTTGCAAAAAAAAAAAAAAAAAAAAGAATAGTTACATCTAATTTTGTTTTCATTTTGAGCCCTCCCAAAGAGAAAGTACAGAGCAGTGACTGCGTTTTCTCCACGACTACCACACCAAAATCAGACGATTGTATTAATTCAATAAATATTAAGTGCCTAGGCATGGGATCCTCCTCTCATTGAATGTTCAAATATCTCTACGAGAGGAACTTTCATGTCCCTGCTCTACAGATGAGATGACCCTGCCTCAGAAAACGGAAATAACATGCCCACACCCACCGAGCTCCAAGTCTAGGGTCTTCCATGGCACCTTGCAGTCCCAGGCAGGACTCCATAGCTGGTGTTTTCCTCTTTTCTTGGCTCCACCTGTGTAGTCACATATTCCTTGCTGGAATGTAGTTCACTGTTAGCTCTGTGTTGTGTTTGGTTGTTTTTGTGTGTGAGTGCATAGATTTTCATGACTCTGAAGATATACTTGGAAGGAAACAGGGCTTTCCACCGTCACCATTTACAAAAACTGTGATTGTGGTCTACCTGGGCAGAGGCTGGTCTCCACATACAGCTGTCCTGTACAGATCCTGGGGTTATATGCCAGGGGTTTGAGGAGACAAATCTAGTCCAACCACATATCCAAAAGGCTTGACTAGTAACTATAGGAGATTTGTACAAATTACCCTTTATAACAGAAGCTAATCCTGAAAATATCTTGTGAGAAAGAGAGATAACAGGGTCACTTTGGGAGAGTAAAGGAGAAGAATGTCAAGTACAGGTAGAACCGGCAGACAAAGTTACTAAGTTTGATGTGCTTTTCTAGATATTCACTGTGTATAAATTAGGAACATCTCCCAGCATTCTCCTCTTTCTCTTAGGAAGCATAATGTCCGTTGGTGGTTTTTTTCCATCCCTGCATGAACCCCCTTACTCCCTGTTCCCTTTTTGTGCTTTATTCTAATAATCTCTAGTTAATAGACTTGTTATGTGGAGACTGGTACATAATGTTCGTATTTGGAAACAGACAAAATAAGATGAAATGGAGCCTAAAACAGGCCTAAGGATTAGAAAGCAAAAGTGTCACCTGGATTTAAACTCTGGAATGCCAACATTCTATTTTTTTTTTTTTTTACCTCAGTCAATAAATTAGAATCCTTTAGTCCGTGAGTAGTTTTTAAAATTTAAAGTGTGGAAGTAAATAGATTTTTCTTTCTCGAGGCATTCACATGTTTTTATTTTGGCATGAGATGAATTATAATCATAAAACATGACAAGATTGGATAAAATATATGAGAAATGTTTTGAATGTCTTAAATGTTTTGATACCGAATCCAGCATGTATTGAGAACATAAGTATAATGATTCCAAATAAATGAATTATGTTCAATTTCCCAGCAACTTACATTGAAGGGATCAATCCCAACCAAACATAAGCAAAACCCATTTTTTTTATTTTATTTTTTATAAACATATATATATTTTTTTCCCCCAGGAGTACAGGTCTGTGAATCTCCAGGTTTACACACTTCACAGCACTCACCATAGCACATACCCTACCCAATGTCCATAACCCCAAAAACCCATCTTCTTAAAGTGATTATAAAATTGCAAAATGATGACCTGGGTCTGAGTCAGGAGTTAAAAGCTAAGTCACTGTAAGTAGTCCAGAACACATTGTACAAAGCTTAACAAAAGCATTCCCATCTTTCCACTGTGGCTTTTAGAGGACCAAAATTGAATGACTCTATAGGACTGTTCTCAGGATGATGCCTCCTCCTCTCTGTCACCTCTGCAGGGTTCATATCTCTGGGCCTCCTTCTTTGGAACAAGAGCCCCCAGAGTTGGTACATTGGCAAGTAGGTACTGCGTTTTTCACTGAAGCTCACGAGAAGATAAATATCTTCTTGCAACTCAGGCAACCACTCTGCAGATCCCAAAGCCCTGAGTTCTGCCACCCTGTATCTTCTCAAGAGTGGCTCAATCGAGAAAATGCCACGAGTTACTTCTCCATCATCTCTCTAGTCCATCGGCTTACAAACCAACTGTATGGGCTCCACGGAGGAAGAACAGGGCTTCCTCCTGATGGTCTTTCCTGAATGTTGTGATATGAAATGAGATGTCCTTGTTTGAGGGTCATATTCTCTACTTCAGGCCTAGAGCTGGTCAAACATTTCCTTTTAAATGTCTGAAGTCATGCATCTTTTGTATTATATACCATTTTGTGAGAAATGAATTTCCTTTATCAAATGGCTATTGTGTACCTACTATGTTCCAGGCAGTATCCAATTGCTGGGTCCACAGAAGCCAGTTGCCTGTTGTCGTGGAATGATGGAGAGAGAGGGCACACAAGGGAGGGGGTGGTCACTTCTACCCGAGGGAAGGCTCTATAGGAGTTCCACTTTTGAACTATATCTTGGAGGATGAATGGTATCAATAGACAAAGGGGAAGGTGGGTGGGTGACACAAAAAGATGGCATTTCAGACAGATGGAGCAGGATGAGTGAAGGTGCAGGGAGCTGGGAGTGGCCCAACAAGGCTTTCCTACAAAAAGGGAGCAGAGCAAGAGATGGACAGGAGAGCCAGGTCAGGGATAGGTCATGAAGGCCTTACATGCCAAGCAATGTAGGGCCCAATCTTTGTCTTATAGCTAATGGGGAGTCTTTACTAAGGGATGGAACCCAAGTCACTTTGCAATTGTAAAAGATTAGTTTTGCAGGGATGTGAAGAGCAGTTGAAGGTGAGTAAAATGTAAGAGAGGGAGACAAAAGAGAAGTTTTATAGGTGACAGATGATGTGATCCTAGAGTAAGATGGCAGCAGAATGGGTACAGAGAAGAGGGTGGATTTGAAACATTAAAGAGCTAGAACCAACCAGAAATAATCAAACACACTGGATGTGTGATTGGGGGAAGGGACGATATGCGATTAATAGTCCGGGTCTACTAAAACTGAGTTGTATAGGACAGTGGCGACTTTTACCTAATGACAATTACTGGAGGAGGAGGAGATTTTGAAGAGAAATACAGGAGTTCAATATTAGACATCACAAGTCTGACTTTATAAATGAGGCAATTCAGACACACAAGGCACCCGGCAGAGATATGTGGTAGACAGTTGGATAGAGTGACCTGAAATGAACTTGAGAAGTCTAACAGGCTGAAGACATGGCGCACACTCTGAGTGGAACCATGAGAGTTGTCAATGAACTTGCTCACAGGTCCATTTTAGTGACCAAAGACTCCCTACAGAATTCTGGAGATGCCGCAACACTGAGGAGGCAGTGAAAGGAAGAGGACAATAGTCCAGAAGGTGAAAGGAGTGATAGGTTAAGATAACTTCAAATGTTCTATATTAGTGGGGACAAGAACACTGTAACCTCAATTCTAGTCACACACAGTCTAAATCAGAGTGACATATAGTAATGATATAATAATGAACTTCAGGATCAGAGAGTTGATGTGTGAACATCGATGTCATGGTTATCTTGCAATTAGGTAATGCATCCAGTTCCTCCTGACAAAAACCTTGTTTTGCACATCTGTAAGCCTGACATTTTTCCATGGGACCTGGTCATTTTTAATCCCATACCTGCTCATCGCTGCCTTGTCTAAATTTCCCATCCCGGTGTAGCTATCTTGAGCACTTTCTCCACTGATGCTCTCATCCTCCGGCTCAGTGTTGACGTTTCTCAGCTCCATGGGGTCCATTTGAGCTGCCAGCGTCTCTTGTCCACACACCAGCTCCTTCAGTGTAAACAGTACACTGCACCTTCAGCCTCAGGCTCTTCCACTTTAGGTTGGTGTTCAGAACACTCTTATCTGCAAGCAGAACGTGATATAAATCATGATTTTCTTTAAATTAGATAAATGACTATGAATCACCTACTTTGTGTAGGATCTCTATAGAAATATAGAAAGAAAGTACACTCCTGAAAATGTCCTATGAATTTATGTCTGGCAAGTTTCCTTTACCGAATATAAAAACAGAAAATCAAAGAAGAAGGAAAGTCATTGAATAAATTGCTACATCAGCGGATATTTACAGAGAGCCTGTGTAGGTGAACATGGCAGGTGCTTTGCTAGTCACTGTGGGAAGAAAAAACAGTAAGAGCTGGCATCCAGCTTCAAGCAGCTTTCCTGTTTATAAGCAAACTGCCTAAGGGAAAAGACGACGAAAGTAAATTGTTGACGAAGACCTGATAAGGCAGAGTCTAACAGTGTCTCGACTAGCAGTAAGATAAGAAAATTACTGCTTGAATTTGCTAATTGGGTATGAGAGAATTCCCATCACCAGAACGCCTGATAGCATGCAACACAGGGTAAGAACACTAAGGGAGCTGCTTTCCAGGCACTTGGACCAGGAAGCCAAAGCTAAGAATGTACCAAAAGGAAGTACAGTTTTATCTCTGAATAAGTATCTGTCACCATCCATATAAAATTAAAATGCATTTTAACAGCAAAGAGACTCAGCTTTTAGGTTCTGTTCTGCCTTTAATTCATTGGACCCCAGCACAAGTTAACATTTTTTTTTTAAATTAAGATTTTATTTATTTATTTTTGCAAGAGAGAGAGCATGCACAGAGAGTGAAGGAGAAAGAGCACAAGTAGGGGGAGGAGCAGAGGGAGAAGCACACTCCCCGCTGAGCGAGGAGCCCACCTCTGCAATCTAGCACCTGGGCAGCACATCTGTGGCAGGCAACTCACACTCGCCTGCCAAGTTCACAACCCTAAAGTACAAAAGCCACAGAACATACATGGGAACTCAGGGTGAGCATCAGAGTGTGAGAAAGAAGATTCATATCGGAGTAACTGGAGCTAGCAAAGCAATCTAAAAGGGACTTTAACACTATATAATGAAAACTAATAGGAAGTTTCAAAATAAGAAATAACATCCATAAAATAAGAACATTGAAGAAGATGATCAGGTTGGTTTGAAAAAGAGCCAAAAAAGGAATTCTAACAAAAAAAATATAGTCCTTGAAATAAAGAGAACTCAGCTGAAGGGAGAGTCATGAAACTGAAAGATAGATCCATGGAAATCACTCAAATTATAACACAAATAGGTTAAAAAGACAAATATGAAGTTAAGGGACATGGTAGGGGAAACAAGAATAAGAACCCTAATATACCCCACTTGACCTCCTATTATGAGAAAAGTATGAGGCCAGGGAAAAGCAAAATAGAAAGACACACTGGCAGAAAACTGCCCAGAACCAAAAAAAAAAAAAAGATAGTAGCTCCCAGGATCTTTTTAAAAAAGCACATAGTATTACAAGCAAAAGGAATAAAAATGAATATACTCATTAATATGACAAAGATAAAGAGAAAAATATAAAAGTCAACAGAGGGGATAGAAGATAAGCATATGGTTAAAGAAAAAATAGAAACTTACATTAAATGAGTAAAGAAGTTTCTCCTATGCATCACACAGACCAGTTTCCCCTAAGAGGAGGAACTCTGAATGATCATTTCTATTTTAGCTCCTTATTTAAAGTTAGTTATTCTAAATTTAAATTATTCACTAAAACCTCTCTGACATGGTTTATCAATTCTAGACTTGAACATATGACAGGTGAGGAAATTAGCATACTTCCTTCTATCTGTCCCTCTCACAAGCTCCTAATTGTTTTAGTTAATGAAAGACTTATAAAATGTTGAGTTTCATAAATACTTTCCTACTATTCTGTAAAACAATGAAATCTCTCACGATTTTCTGTAGGTTGTTTCTGAACACTGAAAGCCCACAATCAGCATTGACAACATTATGATTGTGTGAATGGAACATTCCAAAGAGCCAAGGGATAATAAATGATAATAAATACATAATAAATGATCTAGAAGTCCTCTGTTAGTAAAACTTTGCAAATGAATGTCCCATCCTTTTACTTTCTGAATGGTTTCCTTCTCCATCCTCTGGGTCTCACTCAGCTGCCAGTGTCTTCTGAACGCCATTCCATCTTCTTTCTTCCATTCATTTTGCATCGCGCTGAAATCTACCTCGAATAACTCTTTTCACACAATGTGTCTATGAGTGTAAACAAAATTTCTGTGTTGTTTCATGTTGGATAAAAGCTTTACTTTGCCCTTAAACTTTGTTTGATGAAGTACTGAGTAGAGTAGAAAAATGCAGTTTAGTTTTTTAATTTTTTATTTAAATTCTAGTGAGATAACATACAGTATAATATTACTTTCAGGTGTCTGATATAGTGATTCAGCACTTCCATAGATCACCCAGTGGTCTTCAGGACAATTGTTCTCCTTCATCCCCATCCTCTATTTCCCCCCTCCCATCCATAACCACCAGTTTGTTCTCTATAGTTGAGAGTCTGTTTCTTGGTTTATCTCTCGCTCTTTTAATCCCACCTTTCTTGTTGTTTTCTTTCTTAAATCCCACGATGAATGAAATCATATGATATGTGTCTTTCTTGGACTGACTTATCTCATTTAGCAGAATACTCTTGTAGCTCCAAGCATGTCACTGCAAATGGCAAGATTTCCTTCTTTTTTATGGCAGAATACTATTCCATTGTATAACACTGTTTACTTTTAAGCTATATCTATTTTATCTTTCACCCTGTCCACTAATTATTTTTTCACAATCATGTTTTTAATTTGTAATAGTTTGGTCTTCATCTTCTCCTTCTTTTTGCATCCTACCTTTTTTGTTTGTTTTATGGTGTCAGTGTTTTCTCAAATCTTTCTAAGGATATTGACTGGAAGTTTTCAGAAGCTCCTTTTGTTCCCTAAATTATGTCTTTTTTTCTGGGATTAATTCTGTTTGTTCATCTTGGTCCCTCTCTCACTCTCAGGTTTTCCTTAAATTCTTAGTGATCCTAAATTGTCTGTTCATCTTTATGAATGAAGAGTATTGGGGTTTACTGAGATAGGTAGCACTTGAGGTTTCTCTTCAATCTTACAGCCCCATTTCATTAATGGGTTGCTCTCCTGTAGGTCCCAGAAGTGGCTTCTCTGTAAGTGTCTATGTGTGGAGCATCCTGGAGAATGCCACTCCCGGATGCAGCAGGTGCTCTTGGACAGGTTTCTTTCTTTCTTTCTTTCTTTCTTTCTTTCTTTCTTTCTTTCTTTCTTTCTTTCTTTCTTTCTTTCTTTCTTTCTTTCTCTTTCTTTCTTTCTTTCTTTCTTTCTTTCTTTCTTTCTTTCTTTCTTTCTCTTTCTTTCTTTCTTTCTTTCTTTCTTTCTTTCTTTTTAAGATTTTATTTATGTATTTGGCAGAGAGAGAGAGACAGTGGGATGTGAAATACAAGCAGGGCGAGTGGGAAAGGGAGAAGCAGGCTTCCCGCTGAGCAGGGAGCCCGATGTTGGGCTCAATCCCAGAACCCTGAGCCGTAGGCAGACGCTTAAGAAATGCTGTCACGAATTTTCTTCTTGGGTGGAGCTTCCATTCCTGCTTGTAACTCCTCTTTGTCTGCTGTGGAGGCCCGAGTGCCTTTTGTAAAGTTGGGCATTCTTTTAAAAATATGTATATTTTAAAGATTTTGTTTATTTGAGAGAGAGAAAGAAAGACAGCACAAGTCAGGGGCAGGGGAGCAGAGGAAGAGGGAGAAACAGACTCCCCACTGAACGCAGAGCCCAATGTGGGGCTGGTCTCAGGACACCAAAATCAAGACCTGAGCTGAAGTCAGATGATTAACTGACTGAGCCACACAGCAGCCCCCCCCCCAAATCTTTCTTTTAATAATCAGAATTTAATTGCTGTCTTTATCTGCATGTAAACATACATAGTATTTTATACACATATCTATAATTTTTATAAAAGAGGACTTTACAATTCTCAAAACGCACAAAACAATGTAAGCAAGGTAGGTACCCTTCCCAAATAAGGAAAGTGAGACCTAATCTCATGGCATTTATATAATGGTATAAAACATTACATTCTCTTTTGACTATGACATGACATAGTCCCTGAAATATGAAACAGTGATTTAAGGTCTTGGCCCCAAATCCTAATTTTAGCCCTGGGCAAGGGCATCTTCTCATAAAAGCTGGAACACATTTTCATAGCTTATATCTTTAGCTCTGAAGATTCTATTATTGACCTACTTTAAGGAAACAACAGCTAAAACAAAATTGAAAAAGAATTAAAACATTATGAGCAATTAGACATTCTGCACCTTTTGCCTACAGCATAAAGTACATACCTTGAAACATTCAGACCATATTATAATTTTAAAATTTATTAACATGGTTATACTTCAGGGTGGAAGTGTTTTACAGATAGCATTTATTCATTCAACAAATATTGAAAATGGAGTATGAGCCAGAAACTATGAAAGAGAAAGCATGAGTAAGACAGAATCCCATGGGGCACCAGATGGCTCAGTCAGCTCAGCATCTCACTCTTGGTTTCAGCTCAGGTCATGATCTCAGGATCGTGGGACTAAGCCCCAGGTCGGGCTCTGTTCTCAGCATGGAGTTTACTTGAGATTCTCTCCCTCCCTCTCCCTCTGGCCCCACCTCCTGCTTGTACACTCTCCCTGATAAATAAATAATAAATAAATAAAATAAAATCTTTTTAAAAAGAAAGAGGCAAAATCCCTGCACCAGATGAACTGTTAGGTAAAACAAAACAAAACAAAACAAAACATAATTTACAGTTTTACTTACTTTTTCTCTCTAAATAACTACTTAATGAATAATCAATGAATCTTTGCATGGGTAGGTTAGGAAGAATGATGTTGGCATACACCTCGATTGAAAAAATACATTACTTGTAATATGTGATACGTAATATGTAACATTATGAGAGAATAAAATTTTCATAGGCAGAGATTCTTCTACTGCTCTCCATCTTAGTAGACAATACTTCATTAACCCAATTGCTCATGGGAAGAGTTTGGCTATGGATATTGACAACTCTCATTGTCGATCCTGAATCTCCCTACCCACATCCAATCTGTCATCAAGTCCTATCAATCTTTCTTTCAATGTTTAAAAGTAATTAATTCACTGCTCTCTCATTGACCAATGTTATTCCAAAGGACTATCTGCTAAAGGCCCTGAAATGATTTTTTTCATCATTTTTTAGAACAAAGTCCAAGTTCCTAGTATTTTCTAAGGCTCTATCTGTCTCTACATACTTTAACCCCCACACACAGCTCTTTGGGCCCATATTGAACCACACCTCCCCTCATTCACTGGATACCCTGAGCTGTTTTCATTTCTCCTTGTCACCTCGGGACATTGTAACAGGCTGTTCTCTCTGCCTGAAGGTTATTCTCCACATTCTTAAGCCCAAGTGCCTCCCAAAGTTAAAAAAAAAAAAAAAAAAAACCTAAAAATCTTTAAATGCCAAATGGTCAGAAAAGCCCCAACCAAACTAGACCCCCCATTATATGCTCTGGTACCATATTCTCCTCTCCTTCACGTCCTTTTCACACTTTGCATTTCTGTTTTAAATTATGTGACTATTTGATAAATACCTGTCTCTTCTACTAGGCAGAGAGCTTCATGAAGGTGGGAAGAGTGCTGGGTTTGTAGATCCTATATGTTCCCAGCACAGTGGCACAGTGCCTGGTGTCATATTCTACTAAGGCCATTGCATCTCTATATGGTCTCCTTTATAGATACAAGAATGCATTCTTGTTACACCTTAAAAAGTTAATATTTCAAAGTGAAATGGAAGTGTTTCCCTCTGGCTACCAGAAGAAAGAACAGTTTTGCTCCACAAAGAATGTTCAAAATTATTCTAAAAGAAAAAGCAAATTTGGTCTGACAGAATTTTCTGTAGTCTAGCTTTTCAATGAAGTGAAGTTTCTGTGTGATACAAAGACTTCTTCAGTGCTCTGGTCATCGGCACTGTTGCTTCAATTCACTTATTCATGAAAATAAAAAATCAGAACTTGAAACAGAGGTATTTAGAATACTCTTACTGTCAGAAGGCTTTGTTTCTTCACATTTATTGAGAGCTATCTAAATGTCCTAATTTGTAGCCAAATTCCAGTTATTAAAAATTTGTGTCTTGTTCTTTGAATAGGTACTCAAGAAACATAGCATGGGAGATTCTCAGCAAAGCAGACTTCTATTTTACTTAGGTAGTTCAACTTCAAAGAAAGACCTCAAATCTGGAAAGCAAAGCTGTCCTTGAGTTGAGGCAAAAGTTATGACCTTCCCTAGTGACTGCAAACATTTATTTTACCTGATAAGCAAATGTGAAGAGGAAGCTGACATTGGCAGGGCATTTCCCACCATCCCAGTCTGTCTCGTCTTTCATGCCTACCTATTTCTGATGAATCTTCTCTGAAATCTAGCCTTAGTTAGCAGATTGCCTCCCATGTCATTTACCTTCTGGTTGAGCAAGTGGAAAGTAGCTGGTCATACAACTTCTAAAAGCTAAATGATCTTTGCATCCAAGGAACTGACTTAAATCCACATCCTAAATGTACCTTAGGTAAATGAATACAGCTTTAACGATGAAGGCAATCTACTATCACTTTTATATTAAATTCTTTTGAACAATTTCCCCAATAATGCCATTCTAGTTGAATATTGAGAGTCAGATGTCTTGTTAGTTTGTGGCATGATTTTTCACAGGAATTAGCTTCCATAAAAACATTCAGTATCATTCAGTCTGAGATACAGCTTAGAAAAGAAACTGCTAATGACAGCAAAACTGTATTTACTTGACTACTTCCTATTGCTGGGGCTCCTCTTCTAGCATTTCCATTCCTTTCCTCTACTCAGACATAGCTTAGAAATAATACGTAGGGAGAACCAGAAGAGTTAAAAGAAATAACCCTATGTTGAGAACTTTTCCTTTTGCTAAGAATATTAAATGCTTGCTAATATAAGAGTTCCAGCAGCCATTGGATGAGGTATAAAGGCTAAAATATAATAAAATATAATATAAAGGCTAAAATAAAATATAAGCAAAATAATATTTCTAGCTGTTTTTAGAAAGCAACCTAGATTCTCTAGTCATCTTAATAAGAAATATCTTAAATTTGTGCATAAATTTCAGTTCCTCTTTTCCCAATCAGTAGTTTCTAGAAATGCAGAAATATATATACCATGTATGATATTATCATAGTGAACTCTTCATGCTTCATGTATTAAAGCATGGCATTTAAGAACCTAAATTGTGGATGCAGTAAATTCTAAAATGTCTACATTCTGTATAATAGATACGGGGCCATCTCTAGAGGTACTTTTTTTTTTTAAATCATTTTATTTTCTCTAAAGTAACTCATGTATTAAAAATAACAACTTTAGTAACCTACAAAGCATCCAGTATAACATAGTTATAGAAAACTCGAAAGTTTAGTCCGTAAAACTATACTTCTCAGTGCTTAAATCTTGCTGACATACTTCTTAAGAGTAGGAAAATGAAGACGTTCAAGAAAACCCTAAAACATTACCTAAGTATAAATCTGAAGAACTGGAGGATCTTGGCCTGTAGACTATACGGTAGTCTTTTCTAGAAAACACACCTACATTTCTTTAGTGTGTCAAAAATCAAACTTTCAGCCAACTGTCCATGACTGTGAAATACATCCTCTGTCTAAATATTTTTTTCACTGAGTTAGGAAGTACTCTTTGCTATCAGCTGGGCATTTAGTTAAACCATAACTATACGCTCTGTAAGATACCCAAAACATGGGGATACTCAAATCCACCAAGAATTCTCCTCCATCTAACTGATAAATTTGAGGAGTACAGCTCTATTTTTAGATAACTGATTTTAACCCTTCCAAATCTAAAGCTATGTTTTTATTCTCTTCAATTACCTGGTTTCTTCTAGTAAGTTTACTCTAAAAATACTTCTTCATTAAAAGGGACATATAAGATAAAAAGGCAAGTCACAACTCTCTTTTCTTTTTCATTTGATAATGGTGTAGCTCAAACTCTTAGCCATCTATATCTGCTGCAGTCATGGGATATTCCTCCTTTGGTTAGTTTTTGTGGGTGTTTTTGTTTTCAAGATTAAAATAATCTTCAATGTTATAGTATTGAGAATGTACTTCCAAAACCTTACATATTTTTTAAGACAAATTATGTCCACTCTTTATTCAATGATTAACCAGGAGATGTAAATAACTAAATATTTGTTATCTACCATTTTTTTTGCTATATTTCCCTTTTCTATTATCCACTGTCCTAATTTTATGCCCAAACCTAAAATTATCTGCAAAAGAAAGCTGCAATTAAGACCTAGGTAAATAATTTCAATGTCTGACATTATACTGAAGTTACTTTTTTAAAATGAGAAAAAAATTCAAATATTTAACCTGTAAAAAATAAATACTCTACGCCATAAAAAGAAGAAAGCAGCATCATTTTAACTCTGTAATTATTCATATAAAAAGAGCTTTACCTTAATTATTTATCCAGTCCTGTGCAATCTTTCTGGAATTGTTTGGAATGGCAGACCCCTGTAACAGTGTTGACTTATATGAACCTTTGGGGATCTAGACAATGATTTAAAGACCAGTGGGCGTGAATGAGACAAGCCAATCACACCACCACCATCTCGCCCCAACACCTCCCTCTGTCCAACTTGCGTCAGCTCTTCAAAAAACAAAAAAAGAGAAGCTAACTCAGTTTACTGTTGTACATGTGGATTAAACATCAGTTACACCAATTTCTATTTGTTTTTAGAATTTTGGCTTTTATACAGCAAAATACTCACTTACTGAAAGTTTAATCTTGATTGGTATCATTCTGTATCAAGATGTTACAGGTTGGTTGATAAAACTTTTAGAAAATCAACATTTCTAGATTTATGAACCGAAGGCAAAGTATAATAATAAAATAACAATGATAGTTATGGAGTCAAATTGTTTAATGAAATTATAATAAGAATACATAGAAAATATTAATTATAGGGGAGAAGAGTTATTTTTCTTTGAATTGCTGGCTTATTCAGAGGAAATTTTACAGGATGACAGACACTTACAAATGGCACCAACTCCTCAAGGCACTGCAAGACTAAAATCGTCGGTTCCATCCGCCACTCTTACCATTCCAAAGGCACGGTGCTGAGTAAGCAAAACGCTGTTTGGAGTTTTTAAAGAATTTCTTAATGAACATTTCGTACTTTTCAAAGAAATCTACGTGGCTTTCCAACATCAGAGAAGGAGTTAAAATGTATTGGCATATAATTTATTCTGTTACCAAAATGCATTAGTTGCACTTATCAAAGTGAGGTGAGAAAAAGATTAAAAATCAATCCAGAATTAAGGGTCCTCTGCCTTTTAAATATTTATGACATGAGGGAACAATCTGATGACCAATCAGAAGAAATGCTGGATTACAACAGATGAGTCAACTCCCAATTTCCATAAAAACACAAGTAAACATTGTTCTTTGAGTAAGAAATTCTTAAGCGGAGGCAAGGCATTAAATATTAAGTAAAATGTCCAGTTACCCATTTCTTATTTTCTTTTCAAATGTGCCCATTTGGGCTATTAACTTATATATGGTATATTTGCTTATATAGCTTGCTCTTTATTTTTCAAAATTACTCTGTAGATTTGTCTTTTATTGGATGAAAACTATTATGGTCTAAGAAAATTTTTAACAAATATATTAATCTTAATTTCAGAAAAATTTAAAGAGTATTCCTTTTCAAATTACTTCCATCATTTAACTGTGATCTGTCCAACTTAAGATTTCCTTCTTTTTGTAAAGTTAACAGATGAAATGAGCAAAAACCTGCATTGATTCTTAAAAGATTAAATATCTCTCTTCTAGTAAAATTCCATTTCATAGTGGATCAACTGAAAAAAAAAAGAGGATTCAAATATGTGAATTTCATACTATGATATCTTCATATAAAAAAGGATAGAGATAAAGGTCTAAGTACCTCAAGTTTTACCTCTCTTAAAATTTCAAGTTTAGATTTCATTTATAATTCAGATCCCCTTCAAGTATACTAAATTATAGTATTAGATTAAAATAAAGAGCACACTTAAAAGACTTCTATGAAGGATCTTGTATTTCCTTTGAGCCTATTCTAATTGCAAAATTCTTATCACAAACTTTCCTAATATTCCCTTAAAAATCAAATATATACTTTGAAAATTAATTTGACAAAAGTAGCTGAATTAAAATAGCTTAGGAACTTTGTTGTCTATTTTCATCCCTCGATTTTTGTTATGTTTAGCTATGTTAATTAATGAAAAAATGTGTAGTCTGGTCTTGACAGAACTCATTTTAAGTTTCCATTCATGAGGAAAATACATATTTAACACTATCGTTTAATGTTCTGCATGTTTCTTAAATTCATACATGATGTAATTTCATATACACTTGATAATATGCCTATGCTCTTTTGATTTTTGAAGCATGGCAAATGCAACATGTTCATTTAGTCTCTGATTTGGTTCCAGGGCCACTGTAGAAAGAAGTGATGAGCCAGAATATGTCCCAACTTACAAACAGGAATACAATGAAAAATATGTAGGTAGTAAATAATGAAGCCAGTCTGAACAGGGAGATGACAAACACTCTAACTGATCCTCCATATAAGGAATTCGTATAAGTACCACCAGGAACAGATTCATGGGTTGTAGGGCAGGGAAAGGAGGCCCAAAGGGTAAGATATGCCCACATAAAGGGATACCTGACTTCCCAGACTATAACACAGTTAACGTCAGCAGATTTGCACAATATTCTCCAGGACTCCAGAAGATGAAGAGTCCCCTGGGGCAGAGGCCATCTAAGAAGGCATGAGGGTACCCACGGACCTTTGGGGGGGCACTTAAAAGTTCACATGAGATCCCAATAGGTAGAAAGAAAAGGGAAAGTCATCCTGGGTGAAAATTGTAGATAGGCTAAAGCACATTCTGGCAAGAGTGAGAACCAGTCTGGTTGTAGCGGAGACTTTAAGGGGGAAAAGTAGAATAGAATGGAATAGTCCAGACTGTAAAAGCCATTAAGTCTACAAAGCACAGAATTTTAGTGATAAGGATCTCTTGAAGTCTTCTGGAAAAAAAAAATCAAAGTCAGCAGGGAAGGAAGGCATGCAGGGAGGAAGATGGGTTGGAGATAGAGATAGAGACACGGAGGGCAATGAGGAGGCTGAATGATAGTTTGGTTCGGGTGATTTCTGCTGTTATTCTCAGGCAAATGAAAAGGCAGATGGAAAGGATTTACACTGAGGTCAGTGGTAGTTTGACTCTTTTGGTACTGTTTCCATTTATCACTTTCACTGGTTCACAATACAGGCCATGAATTTTATGTGACTCTTCTATGAAAAACAAGAAACTTGCAATAAGACCTTCATTTTCCTTTAGGTACCGAAAAAGACTATATAGTGATACTCCTCCACTTCAGCATCCTTTCCATCCATCTGTGGTTATCATTTTCAAACAGTGCAGAGAAGGTCTTAAAAGAGTGTATATCCCAATATGTTATCTATGGGAGGTACCAAACTGTTCGCTCGAAATAAATCCAGATCATACCTGTGCACTGAATTAACCTTTTTCTTGCTCATCTTTAAAATCCTTGATCATCTTGTTTAAAATTTCTACCTTTCATGATGTCTTCAAAGAGAAAGTTCCAGCTGGATCAAGGCAAAATGAGTCAACAATCAAAAAAAAAAATGCCTTAGCCAGACCATCGTGGCATTTTGCAATGACACTGGGAAAGATAACCTCTTGTTCTCATCGGGACTGCACCCAAATTTCTAATACTAGTCATGAGACAAAATAGTACTTGGGAGTAGGATCTGGTTATAGCCAAACTGGAAAATGACGGGTTGAAACCGTAATGACTAAGAAACCAAATTACCTAATTTTTAATAATTTTGTATTGTGTCTGTATCTGCATTTACTTCCTTTTGCTTTTACTTCAATTTCTCTTTAAGTCCCCTACCTTTTTCTTCTCTTTCTCTTTAACTTTTTTATACTACATTCTTTTTCTGATGCCTTGTTTTCCAGGAAGAGTTACTTTTAAACAAATTATTTATTTGAGAGAGAGAGAGAGAGCGCTCATGCACGCTGAATTGGGGGCAGGGGAGGAGAGGGATAGAGAGAATCTCAAGCAGACTCCCTGTCTGGCATGGAGCCCAATGTGGGGCTTGATCTCAGGACTCTGAGATCATGACCTGAGCTGAAATCAGGAGTTGGATCCTTAACTGACTGAACCACACAGGTGCCCCAAGAAAAGTTATGTTTTAGCATTTTCAGCCTTTAGCTTCATAAACTCAAAATCTAATCAAGTAGATCAAGTCCCAAGACCCTATGTCTGTCATCCTACAGTCAGTATTAGTGCTTCCAAATGCAGACACATCAATCCAACTATTTCTTATCATATTGTAGGAAAATGTCTATCTGATCTACTAAGCCACTCCCCAAAATGAAAGGTACTAGCACAACTGCAGTTAGAAACAAGATCTTGATTACTTCTTTTTGAAGGATTTACCCTCTGGATTTTGATTTTCAGGCTTATAGTGCTGAAGAGAACTTGTGATCTTTTTTGATGTCATGCTTTCACACTCCAAAATCTTCAGTTTATCTCTTTTAATATGGATAGATGCAAGAAAGGAAAAAAAAAATCCATTCTGAAATGGTACAGAAATCTTCCTAAATTATTCCAATAGCAGAATTTTGTGTTCTCCTGAAGGTGAGTTGAGTACTTCTATCCCTGTGCTATTGTAGTCTTTGTTTCATTTGTAGAAGAATGAAAGCTTAATATTGCTATTGGTATCTCTTTTCACGGTTATGTAATTATTAACCTCAATTTATAGAATAAAAAATACAGAATAAAAGAAGATAAGACTGAATATTACTCTGAAGAGCCAAATGTCAAAGTAATTATAGACAGAAGTAAAGATTAATACTTTCTAATTCTCCATCAGAACAACCTCTCAGATATCCATGGAATCTTAGGCCACCTCCATTTTTTTGACTTAAATCCACTACAGGGTTACTAAAGCGTAGTACATTGTCAACGTAGCTATTTAGCAAATTAACACTTAAATGCACGCACAATCCAAATGACTTTCAATGGCCTCATTTGAAGATACCTTCAAAAAATTCTATATTCAGGACACTCTCAAAAATGAGGCTCCAAAGGGCTTCCCAGCCCAGGCCCCTGGGAGAGGCCTGGCTTTTCTGCTCTAAAAACCTTCCTGGCCAAGAAAAAAATGCAATGACCCTAAATTCTGAGGAAATTGCTTAGTTGATGGTATGCCCCTCTCTTCAACCCAGCTGAAAACACCTTCACGGTTTACAATGGTGCATTCTGGAAATGTTTGAATTGTCAACTACTATGTTGCAAAATTAGCAAACAAGTTTGGTGCAGATTGACAAACTAACTGACTTTGCCACAGAGCTAAATAGAAAATTCCTTTTAGCCTCAACTGACAGAAAGAAAAAAAAAAGGTTAGAAGACAGCTCATGTCATCGATATCCTGTTCTCTACCATTTGCCTTTGAAGCAACTCAAATTCTTGTCCAATTTTAGGTCTTGATT